TTTGTCGGTAATACTTCGTCTGTAAATAATAATTTGGGCTTTTCCCAAGAATCCACTCAACACTGGGCGGTACATTAGTGCTCCTTATTTCTAGCAATTATTTCGATCGATTCCTGTTTACTCGTGATGTTTTCTACAGGTATTTGGTTAGGTATGTTTTGTGGGGGCTTTTGAGACAGGAGTCTGGGACTCGTCATCCTGTTTTCTGAATAGCTGGGTTTACAGTTGGTTCAGCCTCTGGGCCCCTCTGTGCTTCACCTCTCTGTCCTCTCCTCTCCCCCCCGCCCTCCCTTTCCCTCTGGGCCCTCCCTGGCAGTTTCTTTTCCAACTCTTTTCACTGTCAGTCTTTGAGATGATCAGATAGCTTTTCTCCGTTATTCTATAATACATTCTCTGAACTATCCTTAGAATTTGGTATTATTTCAGCATATTACTGTATCCAGGTTGCTGCTTCTTTAATTTAGGATTTGTGTGTCTGCATTCACAAATTGGATTGGCATAGGATTTTGTTTTGGTGCTCATCTAGTTTTGACACCGGGTCGTGCTGTATCTCACAATGAGTCAGACAGATTAATTTCCTTTCATATGAAGAATGTGGAGGATCTGTTCTTTAGGTTTTGAAGAATTCATCTGGGCATAGTGACTTCCTAAGGCAGAGAGTAGGAGGGTTAGTTTTAATAGTTTCCATGGTCATTAAGAATTTAGCACTTTTGTGGGTGGTAGTGTGGTCCAGCGGTCTAAGGCGCTGGATTAAGAATTTAGCATTTTTTTCCTCCTGAGATAGTATTTATTTTTATACAAAATTGTCCATTTCATCTACATTTTCAAGTTTTCAAATTGCTATAACATTAGCCATGATACCAACATTTAAAAATATATTCTCAATCATTCTTATATGTTCTGTAGGAATTTTTCTTTTTCTTGATCAGATTTGTTGAGCTAGCTTTTGGTTTTACCAATAAAAGTTATTTCTCTTTCTTAAATGTATGCCTTCATTAGTTACTTATTTCTTGGGATTTAGCTTGTTATTTTTATAGAATCTTAAAAGCATAACTTTTCTTTAAAATGTCTAATATGAAACAAAACAAGCAGAAAATAATACAGTGAACACCTTTGTACCAACCATCTTTGTTTTAACATTTTCCCATACTTGCTTCCAACTTTCATATTCTACGTTCATATTTTAACGTTCATATTCCCTATGATCCTTGTGCAGTCTCATCCTCCTGTTATCCACTTCCTTGAATTTGGTATCTCATTCCCATGAAAGTTTATACATACTACAGATATATGTTGTTACCTAGCATGTATTGAGTTTTAAAATATAAATGTTCTGTAACTTGCTGTGTCACCCATAATTATGTGTGACATTTATCCATGTTGATTCATGTAGTCCTGGGGTTTTCGCTTTAACTGCTAATACAGTATTCCACTGATGATCATACTCCAGTTGACTCCCGCTAGTAATTTAAGGGTTCCTGGTTTCTGCCATAACGTGAGTTAATGGACATTCTTGCACACAGCGTCGTGGGCCTATGGCAAGAATTTCTTTGGCAGTGTGTACAGAAATAGAATTACAAGTTGAGGGGCCGGGGATCTAGCTGAGTGGTTCTGCCGCCTACCTCCCAGGTGCAAGGTCCTGAGTTCGAGCCCCAGTAGCCCCCCCCCAAAAAGAATTACAAGTTGGAAGGCTTTTCTTTGCTAATTTTTTTTCATGATTATACCAGCTTACCCTTCCACCAGAAGTGTAGAATGTTTGATCTACATGCAGGACAACAGGGGTTCTCCTCACCTCATTTGAGATTTTTGCTCTTTTCTAGTAAAGTTGAACTCACTTATAGGTCTGTCTATAAGTTTTTTTCATATTCCCTTTTTTTCTTCTGGTTTGATAATTTTTTTCCAATTTTTTCCCCTGTAATGGTTTAACAGTTACACACTTGACTGATGTACTGGCTACTCTTCTAATTTAAATTTTTATCTTTTTGTTTCTATGTGTAATCAGTACCTACATGAAGCAGTCTTATATATAGTGGTTAATAGTAGAGCCCTCGAGGGCCAGGGATTTACCTCAGTGGTTCTGGCGCCTGCCTCGCAAGTACAAGGTCCTGAGGTCAATCCCTGGTACCAAAAAAAAAAAGTAGAGCCCTCGAAACCAGACTGCCTACATTCACCTGGCTCTAATACCTATTATCTGTGTGACCTTTAGCTTATTACGTAACCTCTTCTGTAAAACTGGGGTAAAACAGCACCTAACTTGAAAGGCTGTTGTGAGATGAATGTGTTAATATACCTAATGTTCTTAGGACAGTGCCTAACACATGGATCTCTCTGGTCACCAGTTTTCTCATCTATGAAATGGGCAGAATAACCCAGTGAGCAGCGTTATATTCAGTTACATTTTGTTTAGTACACTGAGCACCTGCCATATTCAAATTAGACATGTTTTGTGGCTCAAGGAGTTTGTGATCTAGAAAGGTAACAGACATGTAAATGCACGTTCAGCATAATGTAATCTTAACATTCTCCCTATGTCCTCTTTTGTCCCCCTTTTAATCTGTGCTTCGGAGTATTTTTTAAAGCATGAATCAGATTATGCATCCCTCTGCCTTTTCACTTCACGTTCACTTTCATTATACTTTACATACATGACAAATTCCTCACCACAGCCTCGGCATTAGTCGGAGCCCTGACTGCCTCTCTGAACTCATCAGGTGTCACTGTCCCTCTTCCGCTGGGCTCCTTCTGCACCAGCCTCTTCTTAGCTCTGTGACCCAATTCCTCAGGGGCCTCTGCCCAGAATTCTCATCCATTCCACCTGCTCTCCCCAGGGCTGACTCAGCTTTCAGGTTTCAGTTTGATTTGGTGAAGTTGTCTGTTGTAAACCACAGAGTTTACTCTGCGTGAGAAAGGGGCTTTGAACAATACCATGCAGCTCACGAGGCGGGGGTGGCTGCAGCAACACCCGGACACACTAGGTCTGGTGGCGTCAGTCGCTGCCGCCGCCACTCGGTAGGACTGCATTTCCACAGACACTGGTGGTCACCACGGGTGGCAAGGGTGGACGCGTTTCCTCCCTGGTCTTGCTCACTTCCAGGGTGGAGTTTTGCATGGTAGTGGCTCTTTGGAGGGCCCAGGTCACATGCCTGTTCTGTGGAGATCCAGGAGCATACTGTCTCGTAGCCAGTTCCTCAGACATTGGAAGAGTTTTCCAAACTTCTGGGCTTTTGGAAAACATTTCACGTGAACACTAAACATTGTGTCCTAAGTACATTTTTCCCACCCTAGCTCATTTATTCTTCCACTGTCCCTCCTGTTTTAAAGCACGTACCACAACTTACGTTGCGATATACTTGTTTGTCCAAATGCTTCATAAAACCCTGAAGTCAGAGCTGTCCCTCTATGGAGTTGCAAATATGTATATTTCAAACAGACAAAAATAGAATGTATTTTAGTCTTTAACGCAGGCCTCTTAGAAGAAAAAAGCATTAAAGAGGCCCCAAGTCACGATTCCCAGCAGCTCCCAGAGTTTTGCATTCCTCTTTCTCTCTTCTTTAATTCTCCCCAGTCCTTAGGTGGATGGATCTGTTTTGACTTTTCTCCATATACCTTGTCACTGGGCTCTCTCTCTTCAAATGTCTTGCCTGTTCCCTTGTTTTGCATTGCCAGCATCCGGAACTAGTCTGAGAGGAACATTTTCTCAGGGCTGCAGGAGAGAAGTTGAGAGGGAAGGTTTATCACACCAGGGAGCCTGGGAACATTTACGCCCTGATCATTTTTCTTTATCAATTGTAGTTACATTACAAATGGTAAAATACAGTCAAATCCAGCAACTGAGGGATGGCCAAGGTAGTGGAGCACTCGGGCTAGGGAAGGGTGAGGAGTAGGAGGGAGTGCTACTTTGGGAAGGCAGTGCAGAAGAGCCCAGGCCCAGAGGGAATGTTGAAGGGCGAGAAGTCACCAGGCAGAGGAGTTAGCAGAGAGGAAAGTATTCCTGAAAGTCCTGCAGCACAAGCTGAGACAAACACCAGGTTCAGGTGTAGGCGGTATTGCTAAACACAAAGTAGGAGCAATGTCAGGAAACCCTGGGGCCGGGGTGGGCACGATGGGCCTTACGCGCCACCCATAGGGGCTGGGATTCATCCTGGGTGAGCCCCTGTGTGGAGTGGGGAGTCCTACTCAGATTCCATTTTAGAGAGATCAGCTGACAGCACCGATGCTAGCTTTAAAAGCAGCAACACTAAAAATAGAACAGTTGTGAGTTTTAAAAAGATGTAGGCTTGAAATGGGTAAGTGGTATACAGTAGGGGCGAGCAGAATAATTTAAAGAAACTGCTGGAGGTCAAGTTGGTCATCAGATTATCAAGAATTTGGCAGGTAAAGAATCTAGTATAGAAACGCTGGCCTGGATGGCGCCATTAACCGCAGTGGGCGATGAGGACAGGTTAGCAGTGATGAGAGCGGGAGACTTCTAGGTGGGCTCTGGAAAGGTGGGTTTTAAAGCCCTGTGCCTGGAGATCCCTGGGCAGAGGTCAGCAGATGCCTGGACACCCGAGTCTGCAGCCTAAGAGGAAGAGGTAGTTGATGGTGGATCGACTGTCCAGCTGCCACAGGAAGCCTTTGTGCCTCACGGCTCCATTTATACTTGTATTCAGGACTGGCACTTGAACCTGGCTGTTAGTATCTCTTATTTCCCCCCAAATCACCAAATTTAAAGGTTAGGGATCAAGATTCAGACCTATTTATGGATTAATATGTGTACAAACTCCCCACCCTACTGTGATCCTTACATAGCTTCCTAGAGGAGGATAGTAACTCCCTCTCTATGCCTAGTGTATTGTGCTGCTGTTGTTGTTTTTGGTCTGGAACCAACATTAAACCAAAATGGAAATAAAATTTTAAATGTACTGATGCAGAATAAAAATAATTATATAAAATGAGAGAAAAATAGTTTACATGGATTCACTTTAAAAAATAAAAATCAAAACTCTTATGAAACACTGTTTTCACTTAATCACTATATCAGTGATAGAGCCCGAATTCCTAAACAAAGCATACCATGACATACTTTGTATACACTGAAGTTATGAACAGACAAAGCCAGTATTTTGCAAGTTCACTTTAAAATATTCTCCAAATCAACTGCTTAAAACTAATTACAACATGCATGATCTTCTGCTCCCAGGAGACAGAGTGACCTTGGACATGGTTAGAAAGAGACAAACGAGCAGAATGCCCCAGTCCAGCCTTGTGGGTTACAGGGTGTGTCTGGTTTGTCTGAGGTGATGTGTTGATCACAACTGTACGAGAGCTTGCCAGGAGCCACAGTGTAGTTCTCCAGTACAATTCTATTGTGCATCTATTTCTTTGAATTTAATCCTCAGGGATGATACCTGTGGTATATGAGTCTTTAGCATCTTGAAAATTCCTCAGGAGAAAGTAAGAAGGTTCCTGTCATTCCTAGAAGTGAGTTATACAATTCATGGCTCATCAGTGGGTGAACTGTACAGAAATTGTAAGACGTGCAGTTGCCCTTGGGCCCTGGGGCCATGGACTTGTCCTCAAATACTCAGGAGAACCAGCCCATGTAGGAGCAATGCAAGGGGCATAACAGTGCATTTCAAGTTAAGAAAACACTACTGTTTGGGTTAAGCTCAGGCTTATCAAGAGTCATTGGGCTCATCTTGATTCGAGTATATGTAGATCTATACGGAACGCGATCACGTCTGTTCTTCAGAAAGGAGTTTGGACTCAGACAAGAAACTTACAAGCTTAAGTACATGCCCATTCTCACAGCAATGTGTGACTTCAAACTGTCTCCAAAAAGAACACGAGCTCCTATGTTTAGATCCGATTAATGCCGAAGCATTTTCAGCTGGGAATTCTGCTACCTTTGTGTCCTCAGGGTTAGAGTGGAGTACCTGAGACACTGCACTAAGCACCAATAAGAGACAAGCCTCAGACTTCACTTTAAAGAAATCTTCTGTGAGATATAAAATATAAATAACAAGAAGGTATTCTAAGAGTTCTAAGTTTTCAACTGCAGCAGAGTAAAATGTATGAAGAAAACAGTACTTTGGAAGTTTTCAACTAACTTCAAAGATAAAAGACAAAAAGCCCAATACAAGGGCGCACTGAGTCTAAACCCAGCACGTGCGTCCTCCTCCACGCTTCTGGACTCAAGAAGTTTTCTTATCACTCCCTAAACGGGAACTAGAGCTCTTCCAGGTCAGTCAAGTCCACGGCCACTTTCAAGAACAGCGTGTCATCTTTAATGTAGGTGTTCCTGGCATTCTCCAACGTGGAATGAGCCACAAAGCGGGGGCAGCCAGATGCAATGTTCATGTCCCCATCGGGTTTCTTAAAACTGCTGCTATTGGGGTCAGCTTTGAAGGTCTCCATAATGTGGTTCTTTTTGCCACTCTGGTCCAAAAGCATCAGGGTCACCCTCTGCCTGAATGGCCACTGCAGCAGTGAGTCAAATTCTCCCCGCATCACCACAAAGTACAGGGACAGGTGTGTGCCCTTCCCGGACCCGTCCCCATTCAGATACGCTCGAGCGCAGAGCCGGTAGCCGCAGCGGCTGGTGTAGAACGGCTGGCTGAAGACGGACACCGTGTGCCCATCCACTGCCTCTCTCTTCTTCACCTTGTAGTCTGACACCTTCCAAATGAGCTTCCCGTTGTAGCAGGCACCCTCGAGCAGTTTAAATCTCTCTTCATTTTTATTCAGCTGTGCTTTATGAATGTTAATGTGGGCATCATGTTTGTTAGTCTCCCCTTCTAAAACAACTGCAAAGGAAAAAAAAAAAAAGGTTTCACACAGCTGAAAGGTGTCTTTAAAATCTGCCCAAAGAGGAATTTTGTTACCTAAAAAGAACTGGTCAAATTTGATATCCTAAAGATGAACTGATCTCAGTGTTCCCCTGTGGACCACTTGTTAATGTTAACTCAGTGAACACCATGTCTTAGCAAAGTGGTACCAAAAAATGGGAATGTGTACTCTTAAGGGAAGCCTGCCAAGGTGGGGAGAAGACACTTAAGCATTTGCCTGGTATGACTGGCATGAGCATGGTGAGCTCACCCTTTTCTAACCAGGATGCTTTTGTTTTTAACAGTGCTGAGCCTTGAGCCCCAGGCCTCGTGCTCACTAGGCAATCGCTCTACCCTTGAATGCTTCTAAATAGTCAAGCCCTTTAGTTTCCCCATACCTGAAACAGTCATCCCACCACATCTCTCCCTTAGCTTTTTCATTATTTCCCACTCTCCTTCAAAATCACTACTCCCAGTGTTTGGGATTTCCCACTCTCTTTCTAGCTGTTGCTGGTTCCATTCTGGGCCTCCCTGCTTTTTGCCTGAGCAGCCAGAATCTCACAAATAGCAGACTCAGACTTGTTCACCCCGAGAGATGGGACCACAGGCCCAGGTGTCTGCAGAAAGGTCACCAAGAGAGACCTAGAATGTTAGACGCACCTAGTCGTCGGTCATTGGTTTCTAACAGGGTGATTTTCTGCCTCACTGCATCCACCGCATCCACCAAAGTCCTCATGTCAAGTTTATGCTGCTGCTGGCTAACCGTCTGTGAGAGCTGACATACTTGAGCTTCCAGCCAGGCTGACTTGTCGATGTGACTGGCAAGCACCTTTTAGTATAAAATGGGTATTGAGATATTTAGTTAATATTTTAATAATTCATCAAGATTAAATTTTTTCAGACATTTCACATTTAATCAGTTCATGAAATGAAAACACAGTCGAGAGGAGAAGCTTCAGTGAGGATCCCAGAAAGGAGTCTTTAACTGTCCTCCTCTTCTTCCCCAGCGCCTGTTCCAGTCCTTGAGCTTCTCTTCAGGGCTCACCACCCTCAGCCCCTCTCCGCGTGGTCTAGCCCATCCCTGCTGTGCGTGCCCTGGCTGCCCTCCTCCTCGGGTCTCCCAGTTCCCTCTTGCTCTGAGGCAGAGCACATGCCCGGCAGGCCCAGTGCTTCCGCGCTCTTGCTCTTAGGTGAGAGCAAACCACCTCACCTTGCCCGTGCGCGTTAATGTTGATGGGGCGGTCTGCGTATTTAAGGAGGTCAGAATTGAGACAGTAGCATATGAGGGATTTCTTTTTTTCTGAACACAGTCATACACAAATGTATTTACCTGGACATGCATATGTATGCAGTTGTGTACATATGCAATATATGTGCATGTGGGTGTACACATGCATGTACACATGTGTACATGCACGCACACATGTATGTGCACACACATGCATGCAGGTGCGTAGACGTGTATGTGTGTACATGTGTATATGCACATGTGTATGTATGTGTGTGAATATATAGAGAGACACCAAATGTTGAAATTAAATGGCCTAGATTTTCTCAGATAACCTAAATTTCAAATCATTGCCTTGAACCAAAATAAAAGATAATTTATTGATAGATAAAGCAGGGAGACAGATTGTTCTCAAAGCGGAAAAGGGATCAAGAGGTGAGGGGTGGGGGGAAAAGGGGTGAAGACGTGCAATGTGCATGTACCAACTTCCCACAAGGAATGTAAACATCATGTACATTCATGTACTAATGAAATAAATCATTGCCTTGAATTCTGTTCTTATATCTTCTTTACATCTTGAAATCTTTCACTATAAATTTTATAATGACAAAGCCATATTCATCAGAAATCCATTTGATTATTTAACATTCATAATTAACAAGGCGTTTTTGACTACATTTTAGTGATGTTTTCAGCATTTTCTTCCCACAAGAATAGTTTCACTTTGTTGCCTACAAAAGCAGAACTACAGATGCTCCCAATGAATTAGAAATAGAGTAATAGTCACACAACATTAATTAAAACCCTAATTGCCACAGATTATACGAGAGTATTGTATAAATGTTAAATTTACTGAGATCATTAAATGTACTGGGGCTAGGGCAGAGACGATCTCCATTCTTAGGAAATACTGGTGTGTGGAGAGGTAAAGGACAGTGACGCTGGTACAATAAATACTCAGAAATGGTTTAGAAAAAACAGGTGGGTGGGGCCGAGGGTGCAAATGATGATGTAAAGGAACAGAACGCCGACCGGATCAGGACACACAGATGTTCCCCGCACCCTCGTATTCTTGCAGTTTTAGGCCATATTTGAAGTTACTTCCACTTGAAAAGGTAGAAGGAAAGCCTCACTGCCAAGGAAAGCAAGACCTCCGCTCTGAGTGGAAAGGCCGCTCCTCACCTGTATGTTTGAGAGGACGCTTCCGTTTTTGCCAAACAGCTGTGCAAACTGCTTGAACTCCTTTTCGAATTTCCTTACAGTTTCTGCTAGCTGCTGGATTTTACTTTCTTTTTGTTCTAGGCTCTTATATAAGTCAGAAATCTAACATCAGAAATGTGAATAAAGAAAAATGAGGTCATTGAAATGCATACATACAAGTTAAAATAGTACTTGCAGGTAAGAACACGTTTCTAGGAATATATATATTTCTAGGAAAATATTCACAGGTAGATTCCTAAATAATTCTAGGAAAATATTTTCAGGTAGTTTCAAAAACTGAGATACACAGAATTTCATGTCAGCATGTTCTCTCCCTTGCCTGTTATGATGGTTCATCTAACGGCAGTGACATCACTTGGCTGAACTTACTGAACCGGTTCATTTCATCCACTTGCTATGCACTTATTAAATAGCCACAGAGTGCTGATACCCACACCTCATTAGATGTTATCCACTCACTATCCATAGTAATAATGGCTTAAGTTTGCTGAATTTCCACCACATCTGTTATGGTTTATATCTAGATGTCCTCCAATGCCTCATGCACTCGTGGGTAGGGCTTTGGCGAGGTGACTGGATCACGGGGCGTGATGATTTATAGCTAAAGGTGATGGGAGGTGAAGGCTGGTCTAAGGAGGTGGGTTGCCGGGGACATGGCCGGAAGGGCATCTCCCTCCGCTGCTCCTCCCTTCACTCTGCTTCCTGCTGCCCTGCTGGAGCAGCCACCCCCTGCCATGCCATCCTGCCTCTACTGTGGACTGAAACCTGTACAAACTGGGAGTCAAAATAAAGGTCTCTTCCTTTAATTTGCAGATGTGGGTATTGTGCTACAGCAAGCAGGGAAATAACTAATACAACACTTACATCCGTGAGCGCTCTTAATCCTCAAAGAGCCCTTAAGAGTTAGGTATGGTCCCACTTTTTCAGATGAGGAAACAGACGTATAGAGTCTGAGTAACCTGTCCAGCACAAAAGCTAGCAGGTGGCAGGCAAAATACATGAAGAGAATATTGAGAATTTGTAATTTATTTGAAGGAAATAACCAGAAACCCAAGAGTGGTTCTACACAACTCTTTACCCCACATCCATTACATGCAGTGCCTGCCAACTTTAACTCCTAACACAATACCAACAGGAAACTGCTAAATCCATCTTTCATTTCCTCATCTCATTTTAATATCACTGCAACCTTTCTTATTTCTCACTGGGTCTGTGACAGATAGCTTCCTTCCTAGTCCTATACCTTGTTTGCTGACACACACCAGAATATGAGTTCTTAGGAGATGAGGCTGGCATGGATCTCACTGTCCCCTGGAGCCCAGCACCTGGATGGGTGCCTGGTGCCAGCTTAAAAAATACTTGTTAAGGAATGAATGTATGAATGCTCTTTATCGAAATATGTATTTTCCTGCACTGAGCCATATCCCCAGCCCTTTTTCCATTTCTTATTTTGAGACAGGATCTTGCTAACTTGCCCAGGCTGGACTCAACCTTGTGATCCTCTTGCTTCAGCCTCCCGGAGTACTGGGATTGTAGGCTCGCTCCACTGCATCTGGTTCCCTGTCTTTAATCTTGTTCTCCTCCAATTCATATTCCATACTGTGACCAAAATAATGTGAAGGGACAAGTCTGGCCTTGTGCCTCCCCTTCAGTGGCTTTCTTTCAAAGGCCACCCTGGGCCCCAGTCATCTGCCCCTGGCCACTCTCAGCCCACGTGTTCCTGCCCAGGAAGACCCTGCATCTCCTTGTTCCCGTCAGGCCTATTCCCTGATACTTCCCTTTTCAGCCAAACTACCACTTCTTAAGCTGCTGCTCGAGGCCACAGCTCCGAAATACTTGCTGACTGGCATTCTCCACCCACCTGCCTCAAGCCGCACGATACCCTGTCCTCCTCACTGTTGTAACTGCTTTTGTGGCTGCGGTTTGGCTCCTCCATTCAACTGTTTCCTGGGCCGCATCTCCTCACTTCTTTACCCCCGAGCCTGGCTCGGCTCCTGGTGCCCGGCCAGGCCCCCAGCCCCACCTGCCTGCGCCTCTCTCCCCACCCTTACTTCCGCCCACCTTGCTGTCACGGTGCCCACCTGAGTGAAGAGCCTCCCGCCCACCTGCCCTCCGACTCACGGCGCCACGTCACTGCCAGGCTCCCTGAGGCCGGCTCTGCATCCCACTCACGTGGCCGCGTGCATGCCTGCACCTCCATTACCCCGCGGCCGCTCACTCCTGAAATGCCCGTGCTGAGAGCTGAACTGGATGACCTCACCTCCCGCTCCCCACACCTCTGCTGACAAGTGTGGAACGGGGCAGAGAGGGCAGAGCAGCTTCCCAAACCGAGGGCCCGCGTGGAGCCAGCCTGCAGGCCGAGACCTTTGCTCTCTCTCCAACATCTGTCTTAGTTTTTAAAAAACCGAACAATTATCTGATCAAGTATTTTCCGACTTAAAACCCCCACTGGCCCCTTATCACTGGTAAACATGAGTTCGAACTTTTGGCCCTTACGTTCGTTTTGAAATGAGGCCAAGTATGCATGAATAAAACAATAATTGAGCACAGAATGTTAGAAACTCCTGGACTCCATGAAAGGCAACTGCAGTCTGAGTCCAACATAACAGCCTCCAGCCACTCCCTGCCTCACTTTGGGAAGCATCTGAAAATCTCAGCGCTTTAAGCCAGCAGCATCTGGTTTGCCTCCCTGCCTTGGAACAAGCTCTCCGTTTTTGGAATCCTCCTGCCACAACACCGTAACTGACCAATCTTTTCTTCCCTCAGATGCAGCCTGTTCGTCCTGCCTTCAAAAGCCTCCCACAATGTCCCCAGAGTTTTCTGCTGCAGCCTCTGTAGCCTAGGCGGTTATGCTGTGTCCCACCAGGCACAACACCTTGTCGGTTTACATCTGTTTGTGTTCCCTGGCTCAGCACCCCAGCGATGCACACTGTCCCTGATGTGGGAGGTGTCTGTTGGATGCATGGATGGATGGGTGTGGCAACTGTGCAGAAGGAATTTTCAAACAGTTACTGGGCAACATACCTTCTAGTCCTTCCACCAAAGTTACTGTTTCGTTGGTCTTTCTAACTTCCTCCAGGATCGGACTCTGGAGAACTCACATGCCCACTTTAGGACACAATCAGACATCATAAAATAATGTGCAATAGTAAATTCAACTCCTTCCCCAAAGACAGTTTCTTCCCACGAGGGCTTAAAAAGTCTGATCCTGCTGGGCATGGTGGTGCACACACACCTATAATGCCAGCACTCTGGGAAGTCCAGGCAGGAGGGTCACATGCCGAGGCAACCTAGCAGTTTAGCAAAGTAGTTTCTTAAAATAAAAAACTTTCAAAAACTCTGGGGATGTAGCTAAGTGCAAAGGTCCTAGATTCAATCCCCAGTACCAAAAATAAAAAGAGAAAAAAAGTCTGATCTTCTGAGGTGTTCTAACAAAATAATTAACTTTCATAATCACCACTCATTAGAATCATCAGTTATTGAAGTCTATTCTGAATGCTCCAGGAACTGCGGCCTAATTTCACCTGATAAGCACAGTTCAGTGAAGCATGTAAATATGAAATAAGCCCACATTTATTGTGTTACAAAGCTTCTCAAAGGCAGTTTAAACTTATTTCTAAATTACTAACATCTATAATGCCTAGAAGAGTCAACTGGTGTCTTATGGTGATACTGACTTAACTTTAAAACATCCAACATCTAAGTGCCAGGTAGTAATCAAAAGGTTTGTGTCGAGGCGGGAAGATGTGCCATGAGGAGCACTGGACCCAGAATTGAGGACACGGCTTCAGGCTGAACCCTGCCACTGCCACGGCACACACGTCGCACTCCTTTGGGCTTAGTTACTACACCTATGGGATGAGAGGGCTGGAACCAAGAGTCTCAGAGGTGCTGCAGGTCCTAATGTTCTGATTCTGCTGGCCTGCCTGGCCGCCGAGGAGAGAGACACCTTCCTTCAGGGAACCCACACCGAGCAGGAGAAGGAAGGGCGGACACAGAGCAGGCCAGGCCTGGCGATCCACTGCCTCCCTGCAGATGTGGGCCCCTGAAGCTCACCTGCTCCTCCAAGCAGAAGTTCTTCTCCAGAACCAGAAGCATGTGTTCTCGCAAGGCTGACTGTCCATGCTCTTGCAGGTTCCCTCGCTTACCCTGGAGGACAAACACAAACAAAGTCCAGTTACTGAGAGGCCCCAAGAATGAAGGGGGCAGTGGGATATTCTGCTGAAGCAGAACCTCGGCAGCTTCGCTGCTTTAATTGTATAGATCCACCCATCTCCAGGTGGGTTGCAGCAAAAATGATCTTACGTCTCTTTTCCAGCTTTGGGATTCTACAGTGCCCACAGGGCAATCTTAAACTTAACACAGAATCATGCCCGTATCAAAACTCTTGGCCCTGATTTTCTTCCTTGCCCTTCCTGTGAGTTAGGTGTAATCACTATCCTCTCTCAGCAATTCCCTGTGTCCTTGGTGGATTCTCTTGGGTTAATTTTCAGCCTAGGATGATCTCCCTCCCATCAAGCACATGTCTACGCTGCCTCTCACCACTGCCCTGTTGTCAGGGGCAGAAGCCTGCAACCTAATTTCAGCCCATGCAAACTAACACCCATAAAAGCGTAGAATAATTGTGCAAGAAGAAATGGTTACTTCTCCCTTGATGGTTAAAACACTTATTTGCAGACAGCCTGTATCACTAGCAGAAGCCAAGGTTAGTGTTCCAGGTGGTCCATGTGTTCTAAGCAACGTTCATCACCAGTTTCCCTTTAGTTTAGGGCTGGCCCCTCTGGCGACAGGCTGTCCCAAATAAGGTTCCAGAGAACAACTCCCCCAGCCACCCCCAGCTGTGGTACTGAGGTAAGTTCTAGAATCCAACCCAGACAGCAGTTTGTGCCTGACTGTAAAGGTCTTTTTCAGAGCTGAAAGGCAGTAGTGCATTTCTGTGCTTAAAGGAAAACCCTATCATTTCTTCAGCTAAGACGATTACAGACATTCCTCATTTAACAACATGTTTAATGACTTACCACACATCTTCCTTGGTACAGTTCTGTACATCTTATTTATAAAGCTTCAATGTCTTTTTCTGTACAGTATATCTTGTTTATACAGTAATTTCTGCTGATTGTACTGCATAGTACAGTACTATTGTTTTATGTTCTGTTATATATTACAGTACTGTATGTAAGAGTTATGCAAATAAAAGCAAAGTCATCAAGCTGGAGTTTCCTTTGACCATTTCTTTGTTCTGAATATTGTCATGTACATACTCTATGCAGTTCCTCATTTAGCGACCAATTAAGTTAGTGACCTAGTCATAGGAACTGAGCTCCCCTGTAAAAGACAAATGTCTGTACTGGTTTGATAGGGTCAAATTTATGCATGCTTTGCCCATTTTTAAAAATGTTTTCATTAATAGTTTTTTGTAATAAACTTACGTTAAACAATGTAGCAAGATGCAGAATGAGAAGAACAGGGCTCTTCTCTCCATCTGCACACCCAGTTCCCTACGCTTACACACCAGTCAACAAAGGCAGGCACACAATGTTAACACAAATGAGACCAGACCACACCTATTTTTTTACACATACCTCATTCATTTTTATCAGATGTAGATTATTAAATACGAATATATTTAAATATGAATAATATATCATGATACAACTAGTACTTTTGTGATGAACTTACCAGTTGTTTTTAGCTTTGGGTTTTTTGGTATTCAAACAGTATTATAACATGTACCTTGTGTGTATGTGTGCTTGCGTACATATGTATGTGATCACTGTACACTTATGAAAGGATACTGTGACATAAATTCGTAGCAGGTTAGTGGATGGGTTCACTTTTTATGTTCATAGATACAATCAAACTACTCTTAAATCAGTGAATATTATAAAATGTCTTAGTCTTTGTCAATTTGATGATGAAAATCATATTTCTTGTTGTAATTTATATTTATTTATAAGTAAAATTGAGCATCTTTTTGTACATCTACCAGCCAGTTGGATTTTTCTTGAACTGTCCATATATTCCTTTTATTGTTTTCTATTTATTCATATAGAGGAGCTCTTTGTATAATAAGGAAAACAGCCCTGTTTTTGTCTGCTTAAATGTTTCGAAGCTTTCCTTCCAGTTTGTGGTTTGCTTTTTTTTTTTTTTTTTTTTGGTACCAGGGATCGAACTCCAGACCTTGCGCTTGGGAGGCAGGTGCTGGAACCACTGAGCTAAATCCCCGGCCCTGTGGTTTGCTATTTAACTTTATAGATTTCAAAAATCAGGAAGAAGCTTAAAATATCTGTGATGAAACTTATCAAAATGATGGCTTCTGGCCTTGTGTTAGTCATCTCATAAACAGCTTATTTATTTTAAGAGTTTAAAAATCCATTCATCTTTTCTTCTAGTATTTTTATGATTTTAAAAATAAACTTTATTTTGGAGCAACTTTAGCTTTATAGAAAACATGGGATGATGATACAGAGCATGATATATTTCAATGATTTAAACTTTGATCCATCTGGAATCTGTTAAAAGCCCTGAAGTAGAGATCAAACTTTATTTTCTTTGGATTTAAATTTATTTTATATAACTTGCTGAGTAATTATTTTAAGGCTACAGTAAGCCCCCAACTTATGAACGAGTTCCGTTCTGGGAGCAAGGCTTGTAAGTCAGATCTGTCCATAAGCACACCTGTGGAAGTTCAGCCTCTGGTTCCTAGCTGCTTCACCAAGACCAGTCTAAGTGTTGCCAAGAAGGTATTTTGTGGATATGATGAACACAATCAGCCTATCTCACATAAAGAAGATCATCCACCCATACTGTGGGGAACCCTCATCCATGCAGGTGGAGGCTCACGAAGGAGAAGCACTTCTTTCGCAAGGCTGCAGCACAGGAACCCCAGCCTGAGTTTCTAGACTGTCGGCCTGCTCTGCCCTGCAGATTTTGGATTTGTTAACTTCCACAACTGCACGAGCCAATTATTTATATACAGGTGTTTCTGTGTAGAATTCCAGTATAAGCACAGTATTGAAATTGTCTGGATTCTAAGTCCCTAACCGTGAGTGGAATCGAAGAGTAGCATGGACTTGCCAAGCGACTTGCACACTAGGATGTAAAGGCAGAAACAAACAGGGGTCCCATACCTGTACAGCACAGCCGTAGGGCTTGAAAGGACAGTCTTGTTCGGCTTCTGGACACACAGCAAGATGTTCATCCACCTGTAAGATGGGCAGCCTCACGCTAGGGAAACGCCACCAAATCTCCACGCCTGGAGTGGCTGCTGAGAACAGGGCGCCCCAGGGCAGGAGAAGGCGGGGCCTGCAGACGAGAGCGCCTGGCCAGGAAGAGCTCAATGGGTCCTGAGGAGAGTTTGCAGAGAGAGGCAAGGGAGGACCCGGACGGGGCTCAGCCCTTCACATTTGGGTTCTACCAAACACACACCGCAGGGAGTGCTTAAACTATCTTATGTGGAACACACGGAGAGGATTATTTACAGTTACCTCGGTTCTTGGAATAATCTGCGAGCACTTGTTGGGACATGATACTGGGTACTCAGGACACAAGTTCTCCTCGTGATTCTGAAACAGAAAGTATGCTGAGACGAGACCAAGACTCCTCTCTTCCGCCTCGCTGCGCATGCAGACCTGTCTCCTGGGGATATGCGTCTGCAGCTCGCCTTCCACAGGCATTTACAAGATAGTCCCCCAAAGATTAAATGAATTCAATTAAAAAACTAAATGTTCTGAGTGTTCACACAGAACGTCAGAGACCACGGGGCTCTAAGAAGGAAGCCTGCGGAATTAGCAGGTGCCTCCTTTGGCATCTGGAAAAGGTGCCCACACTCGGCCTATCCAGTGCAGTCACAGTCTGCCGGGCAGTGTCACTGTCACCTGCCTGTCACCAGGCTCACACCACTCCTTCCACGTGCAGCAGCTGCTCAATGCTAGCTTCGCCCGTGATAAATGAACAGCATCCTGCCAAGAAGGCTTTGAGCTGCAGACCTGATTCTGTGCAGACAGCTTCGGCCAAGAACTTCCAGTGTCCCTCCCGCCTACTCCACCGCGACTGCTCAGCAGAGTGTGGTCCCAGGAAGGAGACTGCCCTGTCACCTGGAGACTGACTACCACTACGTCCTTTTTGCAGTAAAGGCACTTCTCCTCCCGGAACTGGCAGCTTGTGCTCAGGTGCTCCTGCAGGTCTCTCCGGAGCACGGCTTCCTGGCAGTTCTGGTTGGAACACGGAATGGCCTGGAACAGGCACTGCTGCAGGTGGTCCTGTGACAGACAGCAAGAGGCCAGTGGGCTGCTGGAAGGCCCCAAGAGGGAGAGAGCAGGGCCAGCTGTGCAGAAAGGCTGGCACGGGGTGGGAGATGTGGGGTCTTAGAGCTGTCAAGAAGGCCACCCACTGCCTCTGCAGAGGAGAGGCTGCTGGGACTAGAGGCTACAAAAGGCACCTTGCTTGGCAGGAACTAGGAGAGGGGCCCATGGGGCAGGGGAAGTGGCCAGGTGTATTTCAGACCCGGGGACTGCTCATCATATTGTTAGGTCAGTTCTTGGCTCTTTTCCTGAGGCCTGTCAGTTAGGTTCTTTGAGGACATTTTTATTTCTTTTGTGCATTCTCCATCCCTACCTACAACCCCTGGCCTCTGCACTGCACATGGTGGAAGATGGCGCAGAAGGAAAAGAGAGAAGGAGAAAAGGACCTATCCCGACTTAATGAAGGAAAGGAGAGAACTGAGGAGAAAAGTGACAGGTCCCCCAAGTCGGACCCCGGCCCAAAGAGGCCTGCTCCCCACATCCACCGGAGCAGAGGACACAAGAAGCCGCAGCCGCCCGCTGCTCCCCACCACCCTGGGTATCAGCCAGCCCAGCCCAGCACCGCCCCGCCGGGCTCTAAAATCTCCCACCCGTCGGCCAGTGCCCCCTCCCTACCTAAACTCCCCTGTGCCAGCCAGGCACGCCCTCCTCGCAGTGCCAGCGGCCTTCTCACCCTCAGCCCTCTGCACCCAGACGGCAAGAAGCTCATGGCATGTTGCTTAGCCTCTGCCTGCCTCGGCGGTCTCGTTGTGCCTTGCTCTGACCTTACAAAAAGGAGCGGGGAGGAGGTTGTTCCAGAAGCAAGAAAGAAAAGGAGACAGAGGAAACTCAGGCTCATGGGCCTAGGAGGAGCCGAGAATTCTCTGCCTTGTAAAATCAGAAAATACTCCTAACCAGAGGATTAGAGGTCTGTAACATAGGATTCTTCACATTCTGGATTTTTTAAAGCAGGTAGGTCTCAATAAAAACCACTGGATCACTGCAAGTGACTGTGATGCCCAAGCTCCTCAAATCCTAGTGAATGTGTTTTCCTTTAAAACAGAGTCGGCAAGCAAACTATTCATTCACATCTTGTCTGTGATCACTTCCCTCTGGAGCTGCAGAGCTGCGTCATCACAACCGAGAGTGCACAGCCTGCAAAGCCTAAAATATTTACCACCTGGCTTCTACCAGAAACAGTTTGCTGCCTCTTCTCTGAAGGAAAATAGAGGGAACAGCTTTCCAGCAGCTGGATAAAGATGACAGCTATTTTCCTTCACCACTGGCAGTAAGAAACAAAGGATGATGATGACAGTCAAAATCTATATCTTCTCCAAAATCAACTGATCCTAGCCCTCCACTCTTACCAGGCCACATTCACTGAACTCTGCCACCTTTCAGAACCCATGCCTTGGCACACGAGGGGAGGGGACGAGGAGTGAGGGGAACCCAGAGGAGACAGGTGGAAGACGCCAGCCTGGTTCTCCGGAAGGTTCTGGTCTGGTCCCTCCAGCTGTGGTCCATCTGAGCCCCATTTCCTTTAGGCTCAGTGACAGCAGTGTTGGCAAAGAGGCCCAGGTCTAGGGCCTGCCATCAGAGCAAGTGGCCAAGGGCTGTCACAGGACGAGAAAGTTCTGTGACCCTCCAAAGCAATCCTTGGCTTCACCAGGAAATCCTTGTTATTTATCACCTCAGTGCCTGGGGGTTTGGAGGCACGATAAAGAAAAAAGCTGAGTCGCCTGAAATACACGTCCAAACCGGGTGGGTGTGAGGGGAAAATGTCAGCAGCTGCCAAGTAGTTCCCCGGAAGCCCAGAGATACCTGAGTCTTAGTCACCTGAGTGCCATCCGGCGGGCCACACTGCCAGCTCCTTGTTAACAGCCTTTGTGGCCAGATAAAAGCACAGCTCGGTGGTTTCCTTTGACAGGAACTCAACTCCCCCTCACTTAAACTTTCCCTACACCTGTTTGTTTGTGTCCCACACCAACGAACGCTTCGCCTTTCAACCACATCCTATGGCAGGCAGGCCTGTGTGATCTGCTTAGGTCACACACTGGCAGGCAGGCCCACACCTGAGCTCCAGGTGAGAGCACAAACACTCCACAGTCATGCCTGGCTCCTACCCCAGGGACCCCAGTCCTTCCCAGTTCCCCCCAAATGACACATCCTTGCCTGACTATTTCTTTTGCTCAGCATGACTCACACCTTTCTTGGTCTGATGACCCCTAACCCACACTTTAGGGCCTGGCATACCCAGCACGCCCTCCCAGTGCCCCCCACAAAATGCACCTCCTCATTCACACCCAGGCCTGTGATGTGCCTTGGCAGCATGTGGTGCAATCCAGGAGGAATCCTCAGAGGGTAACCCAGGCTCCCTCCACCCTGCCCACCCAGGAACTGTCTCATAAAGGGGCCTGATACAGAGGTGGCAAAGGCAAATATTGGTCATACCAACCTGATATCGTCCCAGAATCATCTTGGCATTACATCCAGGGGCATTTTTGCAATACACATATAAATTGAGGACTTCTCTTTTGCAGCAATTGTCTTTAAACACCTAAGAGACAAACATGTTAGGTCTCATGTACTCCAACCCTTTACAGGAATGCAAATGAAGCTATTATTGGTTTGGTCTTCAAGCATATCTCAAAAGTCAGATGGAAACTTCCACACAGCTTATGGAAATATCACTATCACCATTACCCTAAAAGGAAAGGCTGCCTCAGAGACATGCTGATACATTCTGACAAGCCAGGTAACTCCGTGCTCAGCACTAGGGAAATCTCAAGTGAACTTCACCCCACACAGTGTGGACACTGGACATGGACCTACAGGACTGAACGTTTGCCCTGCTGCATTTTGGTCTTGCTTTGGACCCATTCCTGTCTATCTTCCTATTTCTACCTTTATTTTGTGCCACTGAATGTTGGAAGCGTTTCTTTTCCTCTTTACAGGGGCTTGCAGCTAAGAGTTTGCCTTAAATCTCAGAGGAGACTTTGGATTTGCACTTTTCAGCAGTGCTGAAACTATTAGACTTTGGTAACTCTTAGAGAAGCACTAAATCCCTTCTGCATAAAGGGATGCACATGAAATCTTTTGGGGGGGCAGAGGCGGAATGTTATGGTTTGTGTCTAGATGTCCCCTCCAGCCTCAGGCACTCCCCCAGAGATGGGGCTTCACGGAGGTGGCTGGGTCTAGGGTGTGTGAAGGTGGGTCAAAGGTGTGTGCTAACTGGATTAGTCCACTGATTGGTTCAGCGTTGTTCTGGGTGTGGGTACCGGGAAGCCCCGCCCTGGGTGTGGGTGGCACCAACCAATAGGCTTGCAGCCTGGATAGAATATAAAGGGAAAGACAGAAGACAGGCTGGCTGCCTTCTACCTGCCACTCCCTGAGCTGTTTCTCCTCCGCGGCACCCACTGTCATGCCCCTGCCTCGGAGCTGCCGATTGTGGACTGAAACTTCTATAAACTGTGAGCTGAAATAAACCTTTCCTCCTTTAATTTTGGGTGCCAGGTATTTTCTCAGCAACGAGAAAAGTAACTAAGGCACCTCTTCTCGCAGGAAACTCATTAGGGTATCCTAATGAGAAAGCGGTGTGGACTCGCTATTTCAGCACAAGACAGGGCTTGGCAAACTTTGCTGTTAAAGGGTCAGAGAGTAAACATTTTCAGCTTTCCAAGCCACATCACAATCATCTCTTGCCGAATTTCAACTCTGTTATACACAACACTGAAACAAATGTTTCAATAAAACATGCGAGGACACTGAAATTTGAACTGACTCTAAGTTTTGTGTGTCACAAAACATTATTTTGATTTTTAAAACAGATTTTTATTTTGAAATAGTTTAATACAAGGAGGTACAGAAATAGAAGGGTTGCCATGCATCCTTCTTTTGATATTTTTTTAGCCATTTAAAAATGTAAAAGCCATTTGTTTAGCTCACAGGCCAAGCAAAAATATGTGGCAGCTGGATTCCCCCCAAGGTTGGGTACATCGATCCCTGGTCTAGCGGGTGCAAAACACATCTCAGGGAGGGCAGAGAAAGAGCAGATTCAGGCCAGGTGCTCAGGAAACGCTTCCTGGAGGTGACGCCTGAATCTGGGCCACAGAACACTAGATGAAGAGAAGTGCATGTAATTAAAGAGAAGCTTTAAGGAGACAATTTTCATGTGAAACAACAGTTTCTGTTACGACTGTGTCTAGATGTCTCCCAGAGCCTCACGCTGTCGTAGGGGCCTTTTCAGGGGGCCTGGATCTAGTGTGTGATTACTAAGTCAGTCCGCTGATTGGTTTGGCTTAGTTTTGGCTCGGGTGCGAGTGCTAACCTTGCCCTAGGGTGGGCAGCCGCACAGGATGTGAGGGACAGAAACAGGGCGAATGTGTGCTCGCCTGCCTGCTTGCAAGGATCATTTCTCCTCTGCGATGCCCTCTGCCCTGCCACCCTGCCTTGGAGCTGCCGACTATGGACCGGAACCTCTACAAACTGTGAGCAAAACAAACCTTTCCTCCTTTAACTTTGGGTGTTGAGTATTTTGTCTCAGCAACGAGAAAAGTAACTAAGATATAACATAAAAATAACAAGGAACCAAAAGTCAAAAAACAAATTAGATAATTGGATTTCATAAAACAAAAAAAATTCTGCTTCAAAGGATACCATTAAGAAAATGTAGATAACCCACAGAATGGGAGAAAAATATTTGCAAATCATATATTCCTAAGAAACTTGTATCCACAATGTACCGTATAAAGAACTCTTACAACTCAACAATTAAGACAACCCAACTTAAAGATAGGTAGAGGAACTCAATAGGCATTTCTATAAAGAAGATAAACAAATAGTCAATCAGAACATGAAAAGACACTCAACATCTTTAGTCATCAGGGAAAGCAAACCAAAGTCACAAATACATAACACTTTACACCCACTAGGAAGACTGTAAATGAAAGACTGGGAACAACCATTTTTGAGGAGGCATTGGAGAAACTGGAACCCACATACAACACTGGTAGGAATCCGTGGAATGGTGTAGTTGCTTTGGAAAACTGCCTGGCAGCTCTCAGAATGTTGAACACTGAGTTACCACATTGCCCATAATTTCACTTAGCTACACATCCCAAAGAAATTGTTACAGCTGTGTCCAGATGTCCCTCAAAGCCTCACTGAGGCATAGGTGGGGCTTTTCAGAGGTGGCTGGATCTAGGGTGTGTGATGCTGGGATTAAGGGTGTACACAGTCCACATGGTTTGGCATCCGCCCTAAGCTATCTAGCCTAGATAGAATATAAAAGGGACAGAAAGAAGCTGCTATTGTCACTTGCTTGCTTTTGCTGTCTTTTGCCTGCCATAAACTTTTTCTCCTCTGCCATGCCACACTGCTCTGTAGCCAGCCAACTATGAACTGAAACTTCTGCAAACTGTGAGCTAAAAAAACCTTTCCTCCTGTAACTTTGGGTGTTGGGTATTTTGTCTCAGCAATGAGAAAAGTAAAACAGAAACAAATACAGGTCCACATAAAATCTTGTACATGAATACTCATAGCAGCATTATTCATAATCATCCCAAAGTGGAAACAATCCAAACGTCTATTAACTGATGAATGGATTTTTTAAAATATAGTATAGCCATACAATTGGATGGTATGCAGCAATAAAAAACAATGAAGCACAAAACATTTTATGACATGGGTGAATCTTGAAGATGGTAGGCTAAGTGAAAGAACTTAGACACAAGGCCACACACTGCATGATTCTATTCACATGAAATATCCAGAAAAGGCAAATCCACAGAAGCAGAAACTGATTAGTGGATTCTGAGAGCTGGGAAAGAAGGGAAGGGAGTGACTCCCACAGGCGAGGGGCTTCTCCCTGGGGTGACAGCGACACCAACCTGCGAACACACCGAGACCCACTGAACTTCTCACTTTCAAAGGTAGCCTTTATAGAACGTGAAGTTTGTCTCAATAAAGCTCTTACTGAACAAGGAGGAAGTTTTAGGGATTGACCATACAAGAGCGTGAACTCAAGGAAACAGGACGCCCCATTTCTCCCAGCTGCTCAACATGGCTGAGCTAGTGCGGGAAGGCGCAAGGAGCAGGCAGGAAGGCCCTGGTCAGTGAGGTGCAGGAGCCTCTGTCCAGCAGGCCGGGGAGGAGGAGGCAGAGCAGTGTGGACTCCAGGCGCCCTCAACCACTTCCCACTCCCAGCCCAAGGACCCCGCCTCTCCTCCATCACTAGACCAAAGCAGCGATTTTCTTACCTCCTGAGATTTGATCACCTCTTTATCTACAGGGCAGATTGGCACTGCGTTTAATTCTCTGAAGAGAAAAACAGAAATAGAGCCATGGTCAGTGTCCAACCTCCACAGCTCTTCCCAGAGCGGCCCAGTGCTCCAGCCACACCCCATCCCGAGCACGGCATTGCCCCTTCTTCACACGTGGTCCCTACCTGGAGGTGCCCCACTGCCCCTCCAGGAAGCAGTCGGCAGAGCCCCCAGCCAGGGTTAAGTGCCCTGGCTTCTGACCCCACTGTGCAGCCTCCACCCCCTTTACTAGACTGGGACCCCTGGCAGGCTGACACTGTCGTGCTCCACACTGCGTCCTACTCCTCAGCTCTAGACACTGGAGCTTGCTAAGCAAAGTGCCTGGGAGGCACAGTGCCGCAGGGATGAGAATGTGCTGTAACTCCTTCAAGGTGGGCAGGGTATGCTTGCCTCACGGCCTGTGGAAGCCCCACCGCATGTGCAGTCTCTCCAGGTCCCCTCCTTAAGATGGGACGACCCGAGCTGCTGCAATTTGGAAGCTGGATGTCTCCCAAAGGCCCGTGTTAAAGGCCTGTCCCCAAGGAGCTGCTATGGGGAAGCAGGGCCGGTTGGGACGTCTGTGAGACACAGAGACCGTGGCTTGGAAGGGGGCAGTGGAACCCCAGCCCCTTCTTTTCTCCTTCTTCTGTTTCCGGGCTGATGAGCTCAGTGGTTTTCCCACACACCATGACATGATACGCTGCCTCACTGTGGGCCCCAAATGGTGAGACCAATAAATCATGGCCTGGAAGCCCCAAAACTAGGAGCTAAAATAACCTCCTTGTTTTATTTTATTTATTATTATTTTTTTTAACCTCCTTGTTTTTTTAAGTTCATTGTCCTGAGTACACAGTGATGTAAGGCTGACCAACACACAGGCTTCCAGCTGCCCGGAGCCCAGCAGCCATGGCGGCAAGGTACGGATGGAAGGACAGCACCTCTGCCTCAGCGCAAGGGGCATTCAGGGTAAGGCGGGCACAGGCCACCTCCTCACAAAGACTGCACCTGTGGCCTGCTGCCCCTCCCAGGACACGTGGGGCCTGGATTCTAAGAAAAGGTGAATATGCATAAGTGAGGGCCAGAAATGTAGACTGCTCTCAGGGCCTAACATCGGGGGCTGGGAGAGCCCCTCCACGGTGGCCCCACAGCCAGGCACACACTACAAACACCGTGCCTGCCGGCGGCTGAGCAGCCAGGCTGGCTCCTGGGGGCTGTCCTGCCCTCACCTCAGGGACAGGATGCAGTGCTGGCAGAAGCGGTGCCCGCAGCCCGTCTGGTGGGGGTTGTGCAGCACCGAGTGGCAGAAGGCACATTTGTAGCGCTCTTCCAGCTGCTCCACAAACCAGTACTCTGCGTTGGGCTCAAAGTCCAAGGAAATGGAGTTGCTGGAGTTCTGGCGGATGAAACCACAGGGGACTCCGCCTTGCTCCTCCCAGTAAGCCATCCTGGGGAGTCAGGGGAAGAGAAGGAAAACTGAATGTGAAAATACCCACTGCAGCCCTCAGCTATTTAAAGACTTGATTCATCATCAGTGAACATCAACCACATGGCCACTCTGTTACGATTCTCCAGCAACAATATTAACTTCCTGCCACTGGGGGCTCCTGCAAGCGTGAGGTGATTTTGAGGCTGATCCAGATGACTTCTAGCAAGAATCTATGAGACGTAAGCTCTTTGTCCCTCAGCCTTCCACAAGGTGCTAAAAATCCTGTCTTACGGCCACAGGCCCAGACTAAACGTGGCCAGGTGCTAACTACATCACAAATCGTTACCAACTTTTCTTCGAGATGGAGGGAACCGAAACAAGTGTTTCGTTAACACTTTTCGGAGCAAGAGTCCTGCACAAATACCGGCTTGCCGTCCACCTTCAGCCCTCCCTCTGCACGCGCAGCTCTCCCTCCGCCGCAGCAGACCAGGCTGCCGAAGCCCGCCCTCACGTGGCGCTGGAGGAGGTGGGGTCTTGGCAGGTGATGAGGTTGTGCGGTGGAGCCCTCATGAGTGAGGTCTGTGGCCTTGCAGGAGACCAGAACTCCCCTCCCCTTCGTGCGGCCACACCGCAGGGCAGCGGAGGGCCCGCCGGAACCTGACCAGGCTGGCACGCCGATCTCAGGCTCTGGCCTGCAGAACTGTGAGGAATAAACCTGTCACTTACGCTACGCACGGCAGCCCAACTGAGGCGATGCCAAGTCACAGCTCTTCTTGCCTGAGCTAACTGCGAGCCAGGAACTGCTTTCTCCTCCACTCCATTCTCTGTGCTGGAAAGCCAGGGTGATATCTCCGAGATGCAAGTATGGTCAAGTTACCTCCCTCACCTCTCAGTGGCTCAGTCACGCTCTGAGGGAAACATCTGCCGTGCTAAGCAGGCCACGGGGCTACATCCTTCCCACGGCGCCGCACTCAGGACCTCCCTCCTTCCTCTTGATTCCTGCATCCCAGCCACACAGGCTTTGAGGTCTCCCACATGCCAGGCTCTCTCCTGCCGCAGGGCCTGTGCACCTGTGCACCTGTGCTGCCTCCATCTGGAGGGTGTCTTCTGCCCTCCTCGGTCTTCTTTACTTAGTTAACTTACACTGCTGCTTCCGCTTCCAAGGGTCCTCGTCTTCCCACAAGCTTCTCTTCCCCTGGCCTGACAGCAGACAGCCCTACTCGCCTGTCTGTAAGACGCCATGTGGCCTTGGGAAGGGTTGGGAATGTAGGTGGACGAGGAGGAAGATTTTTCACTTTATAATCCTTCTGCGTTTCTGAACATGAGTGCATTACCAACTCAAAAATAAAAATATGAAAATAAAAACAACACCCACCAAGTCATACTGCTCATTAAATCAGGCTCCTTTCCCCAGAGCAGTACCTGGCTTGGGATCAGAAGTGCACTGTGTGTTGTCTGAGTTCCTCAGTGGTGCACAGTTTGCGTCCACTCCTGCTCATCACTGCATTTCCCACTTGCAGCCCTGCCCCGGCCTGGAGAACAATTCAGCTATGGGTTGAATTAATGTTTCTGAATTTTTTGGAGGAACTCTCAGTAGTGCAGCTGTATTAGTGCTGGCCTCTAATACAGAGAATTTTAGCTCCTTTTTGTGCAAGATTTCCCCCAGCTTTAAAACTGTGATGAAAGCTCTAGACCTTCCTCACAGATGCGAGGCCTGGGGTCCTTGCAGGGGATTGGCCTCGGCCTCAGGCCTGTGTGGTCTGATGGCCCCTGAGCCCTCGTCTCTCCTGCAGCTGAGGAAGCTCACCTGGGCCTGCAACCTTGTGTGGCCTAACGAGTGGGGCGAGAGAAACGGCCCCACCTGCCCTCGGGTTGTCTGCTGGTGTCTTCCCCACGCCCTGACTGGCCTCTTGTCCAGCTGCAGCGCTCGGAGTCTGTGGTGTGGCCAGGGAGAAAGGAGCAGAGTAAGCAACGGGCCTCTTCGGGCAAATAAGCCTCCTCTCTGGGAGACGAGAGGGTGTTTTCAATCCTGAGGCTTGAGGTGAAAGCCCTGCCTCTTCCCTTCTGCCTGCTTCCTGTGAAGCTCCCAAGGGTGGTAGGCAAGCAGTGTCAGGCGGGACTATTCCCCTTTCAGCATGGTTTGCCCTTGGGGGTCTAACTGAAGTTTTCATTCTGAAGAAGAGGCACAGCACACGGTCTGCAAGCATAGGCCTCATGACCAAGGCCCTTTTTGTGCTGGCAGATGGGAACAACCAACCTCATGCTGGCCCCGAGGGAGGTCACTGTGCCACACCCTGAGCCCTGTGCCACGTTCTGCACCCCTCTGGGACTCCTTACTGGGACCAGGATGTGTCTGTCACACAGCAGCTACACATGGACGCTCAGAACTGCACCCTAAAGTGGCAGCAGGGACAAGGGCCAATGGTACTCGAGTCCCTCCACGGCCTCTGTCCTCCCCCCTGTGTGAGGATCCTCTGGGTTCATCCACCTTTCTCTTTAACTGTAGTTCTCAAACCTTTGGGTCTTACTTTTACAGTTGCTATGGTCTGAATATCGCCCCCCCAAATTCCTGTGTTGGAACCTAAGAGCCAAGGTGACAGTATTACCAGGTGGGGTTTTAGGAGGTGGCTAAGTCGTCAGGGTAGAACCCTCGAGTGCCAGATAAGCAACCCTAGCAACGAGCAGGTGGCAAGCTGGCTTGGCTCCTGCCCTTCTGCGTTTCTGCCATGTGAGGCCATGGCAGCAGGCACCATCTGGAAATAAGAACCTGCACCGCACACTGTGCCTGCTGGCCCCGTGATCTCTGCCTCCCAGACTCCAGAGCAGTGAGAAACAAATCTCTGGTTTTCACAAATATCTGGTCCGAGGCATTTTTTAAGGTATTTATGAACTGTGATCATATTCTTAAAAACCGAGGCCCCAGCCAGGCTTGGTGGCATACTCTGGGAGGCTGAGGCCAGAGAATAGCAAATTCAAACTCAGGCTGGGCAATTTAGCAACTTAGTGGGATCTTGGCTCCAAATTTAAAAATTTTGAAAAGGTCTGGAGATGCACATCAGTGTGAAGGTCCTGGGTTCAATCCCTAGTACTTCCAGAAAAAATATTGAGGTCTTAAAGACCCAAAGACCCATGGTAGCCAACACAGTCTCGAAGGGGAAGAACAAAGAGTGACACTGTTTGATTTCAAAACTTATTACAAAGCTACAGTAACCAACATGGTGTGGTATTGGGGAAGAACAGATGAACAGACCCCTGGAAAAGAAAGAAAAGTTCAGAAATACACTATTTCCCTGAAAATAAGATCCAACCAGAAAATAAGCCTTAGCATGATTTTTCAGGATGCTCCTAATATAAGCCCTACCCCAAAATAAGCCCCAGTTAAGATCATCAGCTAGACAGACGCATTCAGTAGGTCCCTTGCAACACATGATGGAGGAGTTGAATTATAAAATAATATTAATATATAACTAAACATAAATATTATTGACAGTAATACTTAAATGATAATATAAATTATAACTATTTGTAAACACCCAAGCAGGCACCTTTGAAGGAGAGGTAAACAGCTATGTGAACAGATGAACTCTAGACTTACTGCCGAGTGACCAACTGGAGCACAGACAGAATGCGTGAGTCATGTGTGCACTTGATAATGGACAGACATGGTTGTGTCTAATGTGAATCTTCATAACTCAATACATCATGCATTGTAGCAATGCACTACAATTAGGCTACAGGGACAAGTACTCATTTAAGGGCGGTCTGTTGCTGCCAGAGAGGTTGGGGCCAATGGTTCCACAGGAAGTGGAGTCCCAAGAAGCTCAGGCCAGGATTTGGGGTCTGGAGAGGTATGAAATGTGGATTTCTGTACATGGAAAAATAAGACATCCCCTGAAAACAAGCCCTACTGTGTCTTCTGGAATAAAAATTAATGTGAGATTCAGTCTTATTTTTAGGGAAATACAGCCCCACATAAATACCATTAACTGATCCTTGGCAAACCAACAAAAGAAGCGATACCCAATGACGAAAAAATAGTGTTTTCTTTCTCTTTTTTTTGGTTCAGGGGATAGAAGGACTTGCGCTCGCAATGCAGGGGGTGGAGCCACTGAGCTAAATCCCCAGCCCTAAAGACAGTGTTTTCAACAAATGTCACTTGAACTGGACATTGACATGAAAAAATCTAAACACCGATCTCACATCCTTTACAGAAATGAGCTTGTAAATGAATCAGGCATACATATACAATGCAAAGACTATAAAGCTCACAGAACATAATGTAGAAGGAAAATCTAGATGGCCTTGAGTTTGGCAATGACTTTGAAAACACAACACCAAAGCATGATCTGTATAGAAAGAATTGACAATTCCACTCAGTTTGTTGGGAACCAAACTGCCCTAAGAAAAAACCTATTTTTTTAGAAACAAAGACTTTTAATATGAGTTATATTCTATGATATTTACCATCTGAGATTAAAATTAAAGAATTTAAAAATAATTTTTAATTAACTTCAAGATAATAGTAAGCCAATAACACGTTAGCATAAATAACATTTTTATGAAAAAAACATTTTCTCAAACGAGAAAAGAATCAGTGAGCAGAGTGGTCCTTTTTCCAAGTTTGCATCTCTTCAGTGTCTGCCTTCACAGGGAGCTGAGTGTCCCCGTGTGCTCTGGCGTCACACATCACCCTGCTGGCAGACACCTTCACGCATGCACTCGAGGAGGAAGAGCAAGGGGCATGGCTGTCTTGGTGGTGCCACAAGGACTGCTCTGACGCTGCGTTTCCCCAGAAGGGCGTCGGGCAGCCTGACAGGCGGCTGCTAGCAGATGTTTAACCCAGTCAGGCTCCCGTCTGCAGCACCCACCACGTCTGTGGTTAAAGTCTCACCACAGCTGGTTTCGAGAGGTCACCGGACCCCAGCTGGAAGACACCAAAGTGGCTCTTACGGCAACGGCCCACGCATGCGTACCTAATGAGGTGTTCCAGCACCCCGGGCCCCGGAGCACACTTGGGCACCACTGCTCCACAAGGCTGCTGCTGCTCGGGCCTGCGTCTTACTGGCTCCACAATGGCGGCCCAGCCCGTGACTCCCGTGGTCTCCTGCTTGCTGCTGCTCAGCCAGCAGAGGCCCGGGGTCTGGACTCCCAGCCTTCTTCTCCCAGCCCCTGCATACTTCCAGGTCCGTTCACCTGGCCTGAGCCAGCTGCTGCCCTGCTCACTCCCTAATCTGTTGTCTTGTTCAGCATTTGTTTTCACTACACATTTTCTAAAACCCACTTCTGTTCAGCTATAAAACGGGAATTCCAGATGTTGTCCCACATGAAAGGGGTTTGCTGTGTCCTCGAGCAGGGTCTCGCTCCTGCCTCTGAAGTTTCCTCAGGCCTCCGCCCACCCTGAGTTGATCAGAGGGACAGCACAACCGCACAGCTACCAAGGCTGCCATCCCTGCTCCACAAACATGGTTCTCTAGTTAAGTGGCTGCCTCCGGCTGGTCCTCCGTCCTTCCCAGGGAGCTATTTCAAGGCGTGAGTAAGCACTCCACTTATTAAAACCTTTCCCTTGGTGCATAATGGCTTATGTAACAGAACAGCAAAGGAGTTCAGTTCTTACAAAAAAGAAAAAGATCATCAAGACCACTAATAATAGAGCTTGCGTGCTGCTTTCCGCAGTCAGCAGCGCTTTATTCTTGCCCTTGGTGGATTACGCGCGGTAGCTCTCTTGCTGTGGCGGTATTAGCTCAAGCCAAGAAAGACCAAAGAAAATCTCATCCATCTGCTCCCTGAGAACTCTTACTGAGTTCCTTTTAGATGTCATTTTTTCATTTTATAAATGGATACATTTTTTTCACAAAAATGATTTTTTAGGAATTCCAAAGGATAGCTGTGGTTGTCACAATTTAAATTATTTACTCACAGTTACTTTTGATTCATTTCGGGGGAACTCACAATAGTCTTGCTTTCTGCAGCAGCATGCACACGTTGGTTTAATCTCAGGTTTAACAAAGAAAGGTAGATCTTTATCCACATCACCTCCGGAGCCTGCTGACACCCTATTTGGATTCGGGAAAGCCTGAAAAATTTGGGAATGTTTTTACATACTTTGTTATAGTTCCTAAGATCTAAGCCCAGGAACTACGTTTTTCCAGACCTGACTCTTGGGGAGTTACTGGTCACTGCAGGGCACAGGACCCATCACCTGGGCTCCATCTGGCCTCTGCCATCATAGCCAAGAGGCTGGGACACGGCGGCCTGACAGCCCATGGGTCCCTGTGCTCCGTGGTGACGTACTGTGCCTCCTCCCGCCATGCACTGCGGGGGTGACACTGCTGCCGCCCTTGAGGCCCGCTAAGGCAGAGAAGCCTGACATGAGAGCAAATGCCACCAAGGGAGACAGAGGAACCGTGCTAGGCCTGGATGAGGGACCGCCAATGCTGGGGTGCCTGTGCTAGTTTCACTGAGAAGAGGGAATCTCAGCTGGTCTCAAAGAAAGGGGCATTTCCAGACGGCGAAACATGAAAGAACTTCCCAGAGGGTCTGTACAAGTCCTAGAACGGTTACGAGGTAACCGTGGCCAGAGAGGAGTTAGAGGAATGCGTGCTGTGTGCCCGTTTGCCCAGCTCCGTCTCCCGCTCCTGCTGTGACTCTGCCTGCACCCCGCCTGCTCTCTGGTGTGCGGAAAGTGACTGGCCCACGGGAGGTGAGCTGCTGTGCTGCTGGGAGGCAGGCTCTGCTCAGCGGGCACCGGTCACTGGGGACGCGGCCTGCAGGGCGCACCTCCCTGCCTGGCTCCGTCCTCCCTCTCTGCTTCCTGGACACGATGGGCTGAGCAGCTCTGCTCCGCCAGGCCCTTCTGCCAACCCACTCTGCCTTGCAGCTGGCCGACCATGGACCGGAACGTCTACAAACTGAGCCCAAATAATTTCCTTTAAGG